TTGCAGAGGCCTGAGAGACATATGATGGTGGTTGAGATTTGTGTTTCCAGTGCTGGTCAGGCTGTTCGGAAAGAGTCCTGCTGGGGTGGCAAGTTAAATGTGCTGAGAAATGAGTCATGATGCCTGAGCTGTGTGTGTTACTCTGACTTTGTGTCTTGTTCTTGCACTTGAAAAAAATCTTGTGAAGTAAGGACACCCTGCTGTCCTTCTTGCAATTTTACGTACTGTTGAAAAGGAAATTTAGGGTTAAGTCCAGGCTGGAATGAAGCTTGCACAGCAGATGGTTTAGTGCTTATGGGGTCACATCACACAAATAACACAAAGACATAGATCTAAACATCTAGTTTAACTTTTGTCATCTCTCAGGTTTTTGCTTTCAATACAATGGGAGCGCTTAGGCCAGCTTCCAGGATGGAAATTTATTGAATTAACCATATTTTACATAGTTTATATAAATATCACATAAATAACAACAACATAAGGCAATGATTCACTGACCTGAACTATGAAGAGTTTTCATTGGAACGACACTCTCTACAGAAGAAATAGAGCATCATAAATTACATCCATTCACATCCATTTTATTGGGGCCACAGAAGACGAAAAATGTAGATATCCTCATAAACCTCGGTACATAGAAATCTGGCTAACCAGTAGCCATAACTTTAAAAAAAAAGTTTTTTTATGATTTTGGTGAGCCGAACCTTTAAAACCTCGGAATGAATGATGTCAGTGGAAGGTCCAACAAGGCCAGTAAAATAACTTCCTATACTTCTAGTTTACATTAACATAAGTTAATCTAAAAAATAATTGTAACAAAATCATTGATAAATTAAAGTAGTCCAAAAGTTGACTTACATGTTTTTTTCAGAGCTTTCAACCATCTCTCACAGTCTTCATCAGTGACTGAAAGAGTCCTTTACTCTTGATTTAAGTAAAGTTGGTCACGTGATAACTAAGTGACAACTTCTGTGGCTGGCAAATGAAGCCAACAAGGAAGTAACAAAAACTGCAGCTCCTCAAACAACCACTTGAATTTTGATATAACTCATGGATTACAGTTATGTTAAGGTTTAAAGTTGTACATAATTAGGGACATGGCCGCTTTGAGTGACAGGTGGGTGCCGTCACAGGTGGCTGTTTTCAGTAATAAGGCGTCATTGAGCCCGCCTAAGCTCCACCCAAGCTTCATTTCTTTGCCCATTAACCAGTAGGTTAGAATTTGGATCTCAGTTGGGATTGATTTAAGGTGTAGGGAAGGCTTAAGGTTAGACATGCAGTAGTGAGGGGGTAACGCAAGGATCCGGTGGTTTAGGTGATGTGTAATGCATGTAGTATGATTGCATATCTGAGTCTTGCAAAGGGAGGAATACAAATCTGATCACAATCTTGAGAGCAAAATCAAAACAAAACACAGGCCAGAGAATTCAGGAGGAATCAGAGAAAACAGGCAGAGAAAAGACAGAGTCAGTCTGCTCCACTAGAAGATTTCGCCCCTGCTGTCTCAATTTGACTCAAGGACCTGTGACTCACAGCTGAGGAATTATGCACGAGGCTGCATGGGACCAAAGGAACACAGGACTCCAGCTGGGACAAATACAAAAAGAAACCTCCAAAGGACCCGACTCACACTCACACACACGCCCTTCCACTATCAAAACCCACTGCCTTCTCCTCCTTCATCCCTTCATCACATCATTCCTCTCATGCTCTCCCAAGGTCTCTTTTTTGTGGTTGTTTTAAACACAACATGAATGGCATTTGAGAGGCTGCGTTGCAGAAGGGGAGGGCTCAAACCTCCCTAACTTTTTTTCCTTCTTGCTCTGTTCTTGTCATCACCCAGCTGCGGATTTTTCCAAGTGACCCCCTCAGGTCTGCTAATGAGACCCCCATAACTCTTCTTTAAAAAGTGATCCCTTTACTCCCCAAGGAGAACGCATTTAAGCTCTTCTCACATTACAAAATAACATATTAACTGCTCCAGTGGTGTCTGATGTCCGACAGGGGCTGAAAGATGTTCTTTTTGAGTCGGGTTTGACAGAGTGAGGCAACGAGGCAAGACTCTTAAGTGAACCCTGAAATGTTCCGTGATCAGCCGCATCTTAATTTGAGGGCACTTGGTTTTCAGCCGTCTGTCTCACGCTCCTCCTTGAACATGGTGATCCTGTGCAGCCAAAGTAAACTCATCCACCGCTCCAAAAACCAGATCTCCCCAATCAGGAAATTAAACCTGGCAGGGGGAGGTCAGGCAAGGGAAAATATGACCATAGGAAAGAATAGGAAAGTCATAGAGATGACCTGAGACTTTCTTCATTCTCTTCTCTTCCTGTATGTGTTGTTTTTTTCTTCTTTTTTTTTACCTTTATCTGTGTTTGTCTGTTACCCATTCACATTCATTCTTCCATGGCTAGGTTTTTTCTTCCCTTGTTTTTTCCTTTTATAGTTCTTACAATACTTTTATGATCTTTGCTGTCAATGTTATGTGATTTTTATAATTCTGTTGCTTTTTAAATTTCCTTAGGAATGTCTATGTACTTTTCTTTTTCCTTCACTTGTCTCTATTCAGTCTTGTTTGACAATAAGAGCAGAAGGTGACCTGGTGGGTGAAAGTCAAAGACAACACACAATCAGGAATGAGCCTGGGACTATCACCCTTGTCCCATTTATCATCTGTATTAAGACAGAGTGCACAGATTTGTCCTCTCAGAGCTCTCCTTGGCATAGCAGCTAGACAGATGAGGTAGTAGTAAGGACGAGAAAGCCACTCAGTCTGCAACTGGATTCTAATCAAAAACATCTAGTTTCCTATAGCCTCACAGATCATGGCGATCTGGTTAATATATCATCAAATTTCCAGGCTAGGAAGGATTTTACTACTCAGGCCTTGGATCACACAGAAAAACAGACAGAGAAAAATAGAAAGGTAAACCAGAGAGAGAAAGAAGAAGAGGTAGAGAGAAGAAAAGGGTTACAGAGATGATCAACAAGTTGATGAATGTGCAGCAGCAGTTTGTCTGATGTGGACAGCAGCATCTTGATCCCTCCCAGATGGTCCTGATCCCTCACACACTGACTCAATAGTGGAGGACGCGCTAAAGTGGCAAACACACAATAACAATACAGTTCATTGTCCCCGATCAAACGTGTGCAGCAGATGGTGTTTCTGTTGTGGTTATTAATGTTACGTTACATTTGAGATGCAAAACAGTTTCCCCTCTGGAGGAAATCAACAAAAAAAGAAAAATATGTCCATTGGTCAATGTTTGAAGTGTTACATTACATCCAGTTGTAAGCATGAAGCCTAATAACCGAAACAACAGCCAAAAGTCCAAACGGTCATGTTTCAAGTGGAATTTTTTTTTAGATTTAAAGTATGTAGTTGACATCCCTCTCCAGACTGACCTACAGTATAATGAGTGCAACAGTCTAACACTGTAAATCCCAAGCTTGTCTGTTTCTCACAGTTTCCACTCACGCCTTAGCGTTCACATCTTATTATGGATGGACGGTAAATTCCATGTTTCTGTCTTGCACTTCCAAAATGTCAATTCAAATAGGCCACTTCAGACTGAACTTTCAGTTGTTTCAAAGGCTGTTTGTGCGGTAACCATCGAAACCAAACAATCTGAAAACATGAAGGCTTTCTGTCCCAGGATTGTGGAGGATTAAGCAGAGGGGGGGCAGGTCATCCCACGCAGTAGCTTGTCCACCAGACACTCGCCGCCTCATAAGAGCGCCCTTGATAGCAACACCTCCATGGTTCATATCTGAAGCATTGCCTCAGCTCAGCCAACGCCGTGCCAGCTGCAGCTCGATGACCTCATCTCTTTAGACGTCAACTCTCCCGACTGTGGGGTTGACAAATCCATGCACACGCACATACTTGCGGTTAATGGTTTTTATGTTTCTGTGGATGCAAGTGTGAAAGGATAGAGGGTAGGTGGGTGAAAGGAAGCGCACACACAAAGACACACTCTGTATGATGTCCTTGTGTTACCCTTTTGGAAGTTGGATGCTTTTCCACTTTACATCCAGCACCATGACAACAAAAACCTGTCAATCCGAAAAACCAAAGAATTCCCCACGGATATTAAAATGACATGCAAACTATCAATACTTCAACATATCACTTCGAAAGTAAAAGAAAAATGCAAGTGAACCGTTAGTGACGCCGTTGGGGATTAATCCAATGTTTTGCACACCCTTAGTTTCACCAAAGCATGTAATTCTGCCTTTTAAAGAAGGAAATAAATCATGTGGACCCCTGCTTATGTATGCACAGTAGGACCGATCAGCAGTGCTGTAAATTATGTATTTTATCATTGTTGGCAGTCAGTAAGTCATATACTTTTTCGTAAGTAAATGCAACTGGAGTCCATCACTGGTAATCTAAACTGGAAGGGGGAAAGCCTCAGATACCAGTAATTCAGTTATCACTACTTTTAAAGAATTCATGGCCCAAAATGCAATGGGTTGTTCCAAAAACGGGATAGTTCATACAGTGGAGTTATGATGCGATGATGACTTTATCTTCATACCAGGCTGGGAATGTAGCTTTATCCCATTCCTAATGTGAAAACCTGCCAAATGTACAAATCCACATCCACACGCACACATATGTCCATGCACTCACTCTCACAAAGCTACCAGTACAGTTTGGGATTTGTTAACTGCAGCTATGTGAGTGTTTTGGCACATAAAGGGGACAGCAGTTAGTGGGATATCGTGTGACACTAAAGTCGTCATCTTCCCCAGTTTACAGTAATTCTAAAAGGATTAAAAGTAAATAGTGTCTCTACTTTCACTCTTTTTAAAATTTCTTTTTAGACATTTACACTCAATAATTACACTTCATATGCTGGATCTTCTTTGGAAAACCTGTCAGCAAGAAAAATAATACTTCTCAGCAGAAATGACTATATGCTTCAGTGCTTGGGTGTTTGATGGAAAAAGATTTATCTGACTCTCTCTCTCTTTCTCTCATGGGTGTTGTCTTTCAGGTCGGGATCAGGAGACAGAGTGTGGTCGCCAACAGTTAGTGAAGATGGCAAGACAAGCCCTTACATGGAGCCTGACTCACAGGTAACCACTGTTTACTCTGGATTTACCAAAGCACAAGTCAGAAGGGTTTCTTAAGATTCAAATTCACACCCACCAGGAGGCTTTCAGGACTGATCTGCCTGAATTTCTCATGCTACCAACGCTGAGTTTCAGTGCTTTGGTTTCGGTCAGGCCATGGCTGGAAAATAGTCTTAAAATTACTCACTAGCCCACAGATGAGAGAAAAAACTAATCAGCGAAGTTGGATTGTAAAGTCTTGACTCTTGGACCTCCATTTTATATGATCGTCTGTCTCTGGCCTAGTGAGACAAGCAGGTCTCATTATTATAATAAAACAACACCAATGGATTTACATGTGCACCTATGTTCATCAAATAGTGTTGTGGTTCACTGGTGTCAGAAATGTTTTTGTATTCCCATTTAAACATTTTTCTTTAAATGATATCCTTGGAGTTACTTAACATGGGAACATGTGACCCTCCTGGATAGTACTGTCCTGTGAAATCATGTTTTGACTGTCAGTCTCATCTGTTGCTATGGAGAAGAAGCCAGTCAGAGCGGTAACATATTCAAAAAGCTTAGTCGTTGAATTTGATAACAAAATGCAATACCACAGTTGTTCATTAGTACTCAAATTCTCAATGAAACAAGATAATCAAGTATCAAGTATTTACAATAATCCTCAAAGTGATCAATTCCTCTAAAAACTGTCCTCAAAACCTCTAACCCCCTAAAAAGGGAGAATCAGAAAGAATTTATTGATCCCTGGGGGGAAATTTGTTCAATAATAAAACAGGTGGCTGGTGTTGGTGACTCAGCAGCACATTCCTCTAGTCTGATTTGGGGTAAACTGGGTTTGTACTTTGAAATCTACTGCTTTGGTTTAGGGTTCTTTGCTACCTACCACATCATAGGAGAGGATCATTCACATCTGGGGTCGTGACTTAAAAGTACAGTTCATTGGGTGTGAGACCCCAAGTCTTTTTAGTCTGTTTATATCATAAACAGAATCCATGGAAACAGGCACAACACTTGATCCGTAAATTGCATGTACACTATCATTCACATGATTATAAATGAGATAATGCGTCCCACTGTTCACTGGAATGGTTTTGAAATAGTATCTCGATTGTTCTCCAATCGCACAAGCTGCCAAACGGATATTCAAGGCATGATGATCTTTTCCAAGTTTTCCAGTGCTGGCAAGCCAACAAGTTTCTGAGCACAGAGAGAATAGGAGGTGTGTGTGTGTGTGTGTGTGTGTGTGTTCCATATGCTGTGAATATGGAGACTATGTGACTGAAACTGTCAGACAATGAGCATATTGTGGCTCAGACATGTGAGTGTCCATTTGTCAAGTATTGTGTTGTGGTCAGGATTGATGTGTATAGCTTTCAGTCCTCGTTGTGGCAGGGTGTCTTTGTCTGAAAAGGGTGGGACAGACGCAAAAAAGAAGCCGTGAAATCTGTCATCTCATCAGTGGGAGTTTCACACCTTACAGGAAAGTATTGTTTTCAGTGGTAGAGACAAAAGTGAAAGAAAGCTTCAGTGTATGTAATTCATCAGGGTAGTTGTGGGATCGGAATTCTCATCAGATGATTTGTCTGTCAAACATTAAGCTTCCCGGGGAACTTTTATTTTGAAAAGATTAATTACATAATTAAGCTTAAGTGGTATTTCAGTGTATTTTATACCATGACCACAGAAATGACTTCTTCCTGATTGGCTGTCAGATGACCATTAAAACTGTGTATTAGGACATCTCAAAGAAAGTATCAGTCCACATTTTAACCACTGTTCTAAGTCAGTGTACAATGTTTAACTGCGGGTAAACCTCATTTATTTATTGGCAAAGCTGCTTGTTTTGTCTACTTTTCTTTTTTCTCAGTGGGTGGCAGTGTCAGTCTGACAGTTGGTTGGTCAGTCCATACTAAATTCAGTATATATTGGATGGATTGCCATGATTGTAATAATTTGTCCAATACTTACCACCTGTACTTCACATGCTAATGCATGATATCACGCTTAACTAAGATGTTGAACATGGTAAACGTTCTATCTCTAAACATGCATTTTGTGAGCATGTTAGCAGACTAATGTAAGAATTTTGCATAGGTACAGCTAGTGTGAAAAAATAGCTCTCACTGAAACCAACATAACCATGCATTAAGTATAAACTTAAAAAAGATGATGATCCGGCGCCCGGTTGGCTCGGTGGGTGGAGCTGGCGACCGACGTGCTGAGGCTGGGTCCTTGGCTGCATTTCATCCCCTCTCTCTGCCCCCCCTTTCCTGTCATTCTCCAGTTGTCACTATCATAAAGGCAATAAAAAAGCCCCCAAAAATATTTTAAAAAGATGATGAGCAGAACATAACATACCATGTTTCCCTTTGGTAGGTGACCTTGGTATACGCATAAAAGCATAAAAAAGACTATAGAAAAATAACATACAACGAACAAGAAATTCCGGTCTGCTTGGCGTTGGTGTTCTTCGTCTCCGCTTTAGCCATTATTTTTCTGTATCAGGACACCTTATTATAGTATATTATTGCTTACAGGTGTTACATTTATGGACGAGTCCACTTTTATGTGTCTGTCTTCACTACAGGATTATTCAAGATTTACAACACTAAAACAAGCAACACAAAACATATAATGGCACGAACAGAACTGTATACTTAAAAAAGAAATAGATACAAAAACATTTAATCCAAGGCTATCCAAAAAGGTCCATATGCGCAGCAAAACGTTAGATCGTAAACTGCATTGCAAAATTGTAGTGTTAAAATTGAAGTATGAATCCTTCGTTCTAACAATCTGTAAGTAAGCAAGCCTTCTCTGCTCTGCTGCAACAGTCTTCATCCCACAATCTCAGCAAAAGCTTGGGTCTTGCTTTGATTACCATGAGGAAATACCAAACCTGAGTGAGAGGAACCATCAGCTACAACTGTTTATACAAACAGAGACATGCATGACAGGAGGCCTTTGCGTGTAGGTAATATGAGAGTAGCAAATCTGTCTCTCTCATGCTCTTTTCTCTCAGTCTCCCGTTTGCCTCCCTCTATATCTCTGTAACATCTTATCCAGTCCTTCCTCACTAAAAATGTTCCCTGGCGTCTCATTTAATGAAGTGAACCTGGACGGCTGGAAACTGCCAAGTCAGGGCCACTTTATCGTCATGCTCAGGTGGATTCTTCTTAGCATGAAAAGAGGAAACATCCGCTCCCTGGGGTCACATAAAAGACCAAGGCTCTCTCTTCCTTTGTTTCCTGCTGTATTCAGCTATGGCTTGAATGGCCACACTGACACACAACAATGCCGATTGTTCCTCAGACACATTGGAAACAATATATGCAGCCAGGCCTTTCTCACACTGGCTGAACCAAATCCAAACTGAACTATGTGATGCTGTTGGCCCACAGTGACTCCAGTGATGAGCCAGTTTGGAAAGCATGATCCAAAATTAACTGAATCAAATCGCTGGAAGATGATGACAACACAATTTCTGTTTCTACTGGCAAAGATTTGAAGCAGTGTGTCCACAACTTACCTACCGCTACGTGACGTGACCTGCAACTTTGGCTAGCAGGGTGAGAACTGAAACTAAAGAGGCATACCAGGACACTTCCATTTATGTATAAACAAAACAATCCCTCTGGAAAATGACCACACATTTTTCCAGCCTACACAGACATTCATTGGTGTTTTTACTCCACAGATTGACTCCATTAACTCAAAAATTGAAAAAGGATCATCAGAAGAAATGCCACCACTCGAGCCCAATAAACTGCTCCTGAATATTTACGAATCCAATGACGGAATTCTTCAGAACATTCTGTATTAAACGTTTCCCTTTCTATTACTCATGGACTTATTGTTGACCAACAGGCCTTGTTGGAAATTCCAGTCTCAGTTGTGGGAATTAGCTACTGAGCAGGAAGTGACACATGGAAGCTATGAGGTGTTTCCTTTCACCTTGGGAACACAGGAGATTCTCATAAAAGTCGATGAGGGAATGCTGTATTGTTGGATATAAGTAAGCGTATGACTCGATACAGTTGCGTGACTGTTTTTGCAGCAGCTTTTTGAGTGTTTCAGTTTTGGGGAGTCAATGAGACTGCATGATGTATTTGCAAAGAACTGTGCTCATGTTTTGGCAAGACTGTCCACAGGCTACCGGATGTTTTACACAACTTCCTGAAATAGAAAAAAATTTGTAAAGAGGGATGGTAGGGATGAGATAATGATAAGGTGTCATCAGTAAAACAGCATGATGTGCATGTGTAACTTTGACAACCAAATTTTGATTTTAAGCTCCATCGTATTCTGGGAGGACAAATGAATTGTAATCAGATGCTTTGCACAGCTTCCAAATTACATGCAAAAGATAAGGGTGCACTTGAGAGGGAAGATCTGTATCACCAACCAATCAGTAGCTTTTAGCATTAAAGATCCTCTCATTAGAGACTGAAAGGCCTGACCCACAGCACTGGTTCTCAGACTTTTTCTGTCATGCCCACATCATCAAGTTTAACTTCATAAGCTTCAGGAAGTTGTCTTTTGTGGCAATTTTGCCCAATCACAATCAAATCTTTTTGTCAGACGCCTATCCATCTTGCTGTCCAGAATGTTGATAGCCTTGCCACATCAGAGCACTCTAAGCTCTTTTTTTAATTAACTGTGTTCCACAGTTTTTCCCACTTGTCATCCCTACATCCTAGCAATCTAGTGTCAGGCTGTTATTAATGCTTTGCGTCAAGTATAAACCCAGCTTTACATTGAAAAACCAAACCTGAACCAAAGCCAGTCAGAAGCAGTGTCACAATGTTAAAAACATGTGCACTGATTTGCATTTGCAACAGTGATGTGATGGCAAAAAAATGGAAACCACATAGTCGTTGACAACAAATCCTTGTACTGGCCTGAAGACTGATTGTTCATCTGATATTATCATCAGTGGTATTAAAGTGTAAGCAGTCAAATAAGGGAATTATCACTTTGGCCAATGTCAAGATGGAAAT